CTGCTGATCAGGGTCATACGTTTTGTCCCTCGTGGGAGTCCTGTGTACCCGAAGGGGCGAGTCTTCACTGAAGACTTTTCCGGATGGATTCCCTTCATGTGTGTTCACCCGCCTGTCCGTGTCACTGGGCGTGTCCCGCACCATGTTCTGATGGCCGGTCTGTGTGTGTGATTTTAGCCCCGCCTGGGTTCTCACACAGGAAACCGATGCAATGTCCTGCCGCCGGGCTCTCTCGCAGTCCTTGTTTCTTTGTGGTTTTTGACAATTGTTTAAGCCAGGACAGTGTTTCAAAACATGTGAGCCACACTTCAGGGTGCACTTCCTCGCGCTGTCTCTCTTCGACGGCACAAGCTCTGAGCCAGGTCTGGAATTGGTCCTTATTCCCTGATGTTCACAGACTCGACCTGGGGACCGGCCCTTCTCATGGGCAATTGCGATTTGCTTCAGACGTCGCTCCCTTTGCTTGTGTGTCTCACCCGTTTGGTGGCGTTTCCAGTCTTCTCCGGACGCAGAGGGCGGGGCATGGCCCCTCGTGAGATGTGCTCCGTCTGCCCCGTGAAGCGCGCTGTCAGTGAGAATGTCCTGCTGAGAGGTTGCGTCTTGGGCTTTCCGTTGAGTCACTGAGTCTGAAATAAAGTAGCACAAAAGTTAAATTCTGATTTTTTTATGATGATTTCTTTTTAGATTTTGGCCCTGAGGCACATGGATTCACAGAGAGAGGGAAAGCAAGAAACCACTCCCTGGGGGGGATATCCACACCACAGTCTCTTTTCTTCCACACTCTTCCTGGGATTTTGGGCATATACGTACACACACCCAGCGTGTTTTTCAAGTCACATGAGATCTAGCTGCCTTAACCACTATGCTACTGGCTGCCCCTAAATACATAAGGGGAAAAAACAAAACAAACCCCAAAAATCCCAGCCCAAGGGAGACTCTGGGATGCAAACCCAGGACCTTCCCTCCTTGCCGTGTGGGCCCAGCTGCATTACCACTGCACCACCATCTGGACCAAGTCTCCTCTAGATACCTTCACAATACAACCAAATTCCAGTACATGAACTTTGGGGTGACACCATCAAACCAGAGCAGCTCTTTTTTTTTTTGGAGAGGTTTTTGCTATAGGGCGTGTGTGCTCGCCAGACAGACAGAGAGAGACAGAGATACAGAAAGCGAGAAATCACCCCCCAGGGGGGATGGCCATACCGCAATCCCTTCTCCTCCATTCTCCTCTCGGGATCTTGGGCACGCATGCACACGTGCCCGGCGTGAGTTTAAGCCACCGGGTCCGGGATGCGAACCGCGGTCGACTACATGGGAGTCCAGCGACATAGCCATTACGCTAACTGCTGGTCCCCAGAGCAGCTCTTTTTCATGATGAGAATAAAAATGTAACGCGAGAGCAAGATGTCCAGTTCTGCGGTGAAACACTGTCTTTCGCTTGGCAGGGAGCAGCCACCACACTCCCCTGAGCAGAGAAGGTGCTCGACTAGTTGTGGTCTCGTCACTGGCTAAATGCAGGAAGGGGGCTCCTGACCTAGAGACTCCAGGTTCCTGCAGTTTTCCAGCATCACATCTCTGTACAGACTCCTCTGAGCAGGGTCCAGCAGAGTCCACTCCTCCTTGGTGAAGTTCACAGCCACGTCTGCAAAGGTCACCGTGTCCTGAAACGACACATCGGATGAGGTCCTATGGGAGTGGGCAAGTTCCAGTCCAAGGACCTCCTAAAAGAAGAAATCTGCAGCTGGCCACATGGCCTACTGTTTAAGGAAGCCAGATCCCACATGGCCAACTGTGGTTTGACTCTTGGCCCCATTGGCTGGAAAAACATACTCGGCACATGTGTGCAGGTGTGCAAAACCCTGACAGGATGGAGACATGCAGAAGAGACTGTGGTGCGACCATATGCCCTGGAGGTTGCTTCCTCTCGGTCTTTCTATCTCTGGTGAGTGCGTGTGCCCTCTAGCAATTAAAAAAATAAAAAGGAGGGGCCGGCAGGTGGCGTGGTGGTTAAAGGTGCTGGATTCCCACATGGCCGACTGCAGTCCTGGACCTGGCAACTTGCTTTCTTACTTTCCCTTCCTCCCTCTCTCTGGTCAAATTAAAAAAATAATAATAACGAATAGAAATAAATAAATAATTCTTAAAAAAAAAAAACAATAAAAGGGAGGGCCGGCAGGTGGCATGATGGTTAAGATACTGGACTCCCTCATGGCCAACAGGGCCACTCCCAGACCTGGCAGCTTGCTTTCTCATTTTCTCTCTATCTCTCTTTGGTGATCACATGTGCCCTGTAGCAAATTAAAGAGTAATATTATTAATATATTAAATAATAATAATGAATAACAATACTTAATTAAAAATAATTAAAAAATAAAATAAATAGAAGAGGAAATCTGGACACAAACACTAGAGGGAAGAATGCCATGTGATAATGGGGGTGGAGATTGGAGCGATGGGTCTGTAAACCAAAGAACCTATCGGGGTGCCAGCAAACACCACAAGTCAGGGGAGAGCATGCAACAGTCCTGAACCTCAGAGCCTTGGAACAAACCAGCCCTTAGATTTCCAGCAGGCAGAACTGTGAAAGAATAAGCTTCTGTTGCTTCAAGACACTCTGTGCTTTTTGATTGCAGCAGCCCTAGGAGACTGATCCAGGCATTGCCCATGCTTGTGCTCCCGCTCCCAGAAGGGTGGTGGCTCACAGCGCTGGAGGAGGCATGGCCAAGGTCTGGGGTTTCTCGTCATCTAGGAAGGCCTCTACCACCAGGTTCCTCTTCCTCTGTCCACATTTGCTCCCAAGATGACCGCAAGGGTGGCTTCACCGCAGGTAGACCATGCCTTCACCTCTCTGTCCATCCTCATTCTCTAAGTCCCGTCATCCCAACTCATGGTCTCAGGAATACCGCAATCACACGCCTGGAGTTCAGTCTGCCAGGAGACTGTGCACAGTTCCCTTCTGTGTTATCTGCTAAGGTAGCCATGACAAAATATGCTAGGATCCCAGTATCTGTGGCTGCATTTCAAGTGGTTTCAGTTGCCTGTGGTCAAGCGTAGTCTGAAAATATTAAATGGATCCTCCCTGATGTGTCAACAGGTTAGTCATGGCCCAGTGCTACGTCACGATGTCCACGTCATTCATCTCATGTCACCTCATCACCCAGGACCTTTATTGTCTCACGTCATCACGAGAAGGATGAACACAGTGCAGGAAGATACTTGATAGGAAGACTACATGCATGTAACTTACCATAGTGTGTCGTTATAATTGCTCTGTTTTATTATCAGTTATCATTGTTAATCTCTTATTGTGTCTGACTTACACATTACATGTCATCATATAAATGTAAATATAAGAAAAAACGGGGGACCAGCAGGTGGTGCGGTGGTTAAGGTGTTGGACACTCCCATATGGCCGATCACAGTTCAAGTCCTGGACCTGGTGGCTTGCTTTCCCACTTTCTCTCCCTCTTTCTCTGTCTCTCTCTAGTCAAATTAAAATAAATGAATGAATAAATAAAAATTAAAAAAATCCCTCTTTAAAAAAAAAGAAAAAACGGGAGAACTTCAGAAAACTTGTGGGAAAATGGAATTACAGTATGAGTTTATTTTGGTGCAAAAATTTTTTTTTGGAAAGATTTTTGCTATAGGGGGCTTGCACTTGCTGAAGATGCAGAGAGAGAGAGAGACAGAAAACAAGAAATCACTCCCCTCCCGCCGGAGAATGGTCACACCACAATCCCTTCTCTCAGTATTTTGGACACACATGCACACGTGCCCGGTGTGAATTTCAAGCCTCTGGGTCTGGGACTCAAATCGTGGTCAACCATGTGAGAATTCAGCACCTTAACCACTATGCCATCTGCTGACCCTGGTGCAAAAATTTAAAAAATTTATGGATAATTTTTTTTTTGGGGGGGAGAGGATTTTTGCCATAGGGTGCGTGCGCTCGCCAGACAGACAGATAGAGACAGAGAGACAGAAAGCGAGAAATCACCCTCCAGGGGGGATGGCCACACCGCAATCCTTTCTCCTCCATTCTCCTCTTGGGATCTTGGGTATGTATGTACACATGCCCCGCGTGTTTTAAGCCACCAGGTCTGGGACTCGAACCGTGGTCAACTACATGGGAGTCCAGTGACATAGCCATTACTCTAACTGCTGGTCCCTGGATAATTTTTTTTTATAATGTGCATTTTCATGAACTTTTTGAAGACCCCCAGATCCTTGTGTGTGTGTGTGTGTGTGTGTGTGTGTAAACAGTTTGGTATTATCTTCAGTTTCAGTTATCCACTGGGGGTCTTGGGATGTCTATTCCATGAATCAGCGAGGACTACTGTATCACAGACTAGGTGGTTTAAACAACAGACATTTATGTCCTTACAATTCTGGAGGCTGGAAGTCCAAAACCAAGGAGTTGTCAGGGTTGATTTCTCCTGGAGCCTCTCTGGATGGCTTGTAGATGGCTACCTTCTCACTGTCTTCATGTGGACTTTCTTCATGTCTCTTCCTCTCCTTTTAAGGATGCCAGTCATATTGACTGAGGGCCTGCTATGGTCTGAATGTTCCTTCCAAAGCCCGTGTTGAAATTTAATTGTCAACCTAATGGTATGGTAGGTGGGGAATTTAGGAGGTAAAT